TGATATTTTCCTACTAATCTATCCATAACTGTGTAAAGTTTGTAATGTTCCTATCCTATCTCATAAATGGATGTATGTTTATTATTATGTGTTTCCTACAACAACCATTGAGAATAGTTAATGATTTTTCAATAGGTCACTCATGTGTAGTCTATTTATTTTCTGTAGAAGCCACTTTGAAGATACCAAAGTATAGTACAACAACTCTTGATAATCTCCTACCTCTTTTGTCTCTAACTCACTATTATTTGTCTATTTGTTTTCCTGAGAAACTATTTTGTAGATAATAATATGTAAAACGATAACCATTGATAATTTCCTACCATTTTGTCTCTAATTTGCTAAGTCCCCCCTATTATTATGTTATCCTTCTTTTATTCTTTAAAATAAAAAAAAAAAAATAAATAAACACACGGGGCTGAGGGGCAGGACTATGGAACAATGTATCCCATTGATGAGTCTTGGTGGGAGGCATATCCCTCCCACTGCAAGGTGACAATCTGTCCTTTTCTCTGCCCTCTAACTCCAATGAGGACATGAGACTTAGGCTTACAAGGTCTTCAGCCAATTTTCTTCTCTGACACACTGAGCCTGGGTTTGGCCCAAGAGGCCTTGGGCATGTGTATGGCTTTTCTATTCAATGGCTGGGTGGTCTTGGGCAAGTCACTTAGACTCTCTGAGCCTTAGTTTCTTAGTCCTCCTTCAAATGCTTATGAAGATTATTTTGGATCACAATGTAAGTGAAAGTATCTAGGCCACAGTGTTTATCCCTTAAGAGTTAAGTTGGGGCATACACTGCTATTGGGAAATGTTACTTCTCTTGAAAGGGAACCTGAGGACCTGGCTTAGGGAGATCGTGTCCTTAGAGCTATGTCTCATCATTTCTGTTGGTTGAATCTGTTTTGTTTTGGTTTTTTTTTTTTTTTTTTTGGTTTTTGGTTTTTCTCCGGTACCAGGAACCGAACTCATGACCTTGTGCTTGCCAGGCAGGCGCTTTTGCCGCTGAGCTAAATCCCCAGCCCCTTCTGTTGGTTGAATCTGTGTTGTGGTTTTGAGTTTCTCAGTCAAGTAGCCTGATGACTTTGCTCCTTTCCCCATGTGTTCCATAATTAGATCCACAAAACCAGTAACGTCCATGATTGGCAAATCTTAATAGCTGGGCCTCAGATGCCTTCAGAGTCACAGCAACAGGGTTGTTTATTCCTCAAATTTTGTTACTATTGTCTTCTTGGTTCCCTTTCCATATCTCGGCCACACCCTCTCCTGCATCTCCTGTAACTACCTTGCTGGTCATAGGTCTTGACTGTCCTGTGTATAGTTCCCACTGTCTTGTCTATCCTCACCCTTCTTCAACCAACTGATAAGGCCCCTGATCCCCTAGACTGTGTCTGTATTGCTTGATATTTTGTCTTCTGCAGCTGGGGCTTTGTCAGCCCAGTAGGCACTTGAGTGAACGTATGTCTCTGCCTCCTTTAGGGGATAAAGCAGCTAGATGCAGACAGACCAGAAAGGGATGTCTACTTACGTTCACGTCTCTTCATAAGCAGTAGGATTGCATCTTTGAATATTTCAAAATTTTTCTTCAACCTAAAAGGAACGTGAATCATCTTTAGAGGCCAAGATTAAATTTGTGTTCCCATAATATGACGCACGGTGCAGGAGGGGCTGGATCCTGCCGAGTCTCCCAGTCAGGGGAAAGTTGGCCAGATGCCTCTGCTTTCCAACCAGGCTTTCCATGCAGTGAAAGCAGTGGAGTAAAGGCACTGCATGTGGCATTGAACCCATGCTTCCTGCCTGATCTTTAGCGGACCTGCAGCCTGGGCACAAGGCTGACTTCCAGGCCCTTTGTGGTGGGTTCAGCAAGGGCTTTCCTGAGGACAAGGGAGGTCCAAACGCAAGTGTGGCTCTGTGAGTTAAGTTTATGTGGGTTGATTTTCTATGGCTTGTCCCTGTTCCAGTAAGGGTTATATCCAGACATGGCTTGGAAAAACAGCATCGACTGTGAATTGCACAGAGCCATTTGAAACTATTTACATTTATTAGGAAGTATGTTAAGTAGGCTCACTCAAAAGGACCGATCCTGAAAACCTCACTAAGGCACAACCTTTCAAAATGACGCAGCCAGCTCCCTGCCCGTCACCCATGTCGATATACAAAGTGAGCCATTCTGGAGTTTCAGTGGCTCTGACTAGTTTACTTCCAAATAAGGGTGGCCTCTAGGACAACCATGTTTCCTGGCTCTCCGTTCAGAGTCCCTTGAAAAGGTATGTGGCACAGTGAGTACCCTAGCTCAGCTGGATCTGAGAAGGAGGCCTTTGCCGTGTAGCTCAGGTTCCTTGGAGGAAGCATAATACTTTATCTCAGAACAACTCTAGCAAACAGACAGACTGGAGTTGACTGTGCTGCGTCACCTAGCAGGGAGCAATGGCTTACTATTTGTACACAAGGAGCAATAGGGAAGCTAGAGAATGAGGTCTTCCAGGCCTATTCCACCAAATATTTTACTTGCAAGCACTCTCACTGGAGCTAAAGCAGTTATCTAGCTGATTGGCACCTGTGAAAGAAATAAGAAACGTGGAGTAGGGCAGGTGGAGACCTACCCTTTGGGCTGAGAGCAAGATGCTAGATAGAGACAGGACTTAAACTCCAGGGAAGGGGTCCAGCCAGAGGCCCCCAAGGCCCTCTTGAGGAGGGGTGGGTGTTCCTCCTTTGGCTTTTTCTCACCTTTAGTCTCCCAGTGGCAGAGGCTGTGTGGTATGCACTGCTGTGTCTCTAGAGCATTGCTTGGCACACAGGAAGTGCTCAGGGAATATTTGTTGAGGGTGATCAGGTTGGAATGAGACTGTTATAGGGTTAAATGATAAGAAAGCAGAGGCAACAGATGTAGGTGGCAGGATGACTCACCGAGATGTTATTCGGTTGATCTCAAAGCTTGGGTAATCCTTATGTTTTGCCCTTAGGAGCTCTGATTTTTTATTTTGCCTTCGTCTTCCTGGAGAGGCCTTGGGGGTTGTTGCCCATGACTACTGAGTCCACAGAGGATGCTACTGGAGGCTGCTCTCTTCCTGACTTGATGAATGCTTGAACTTACCACAGTGATTACTTAGGGTGTCCTGTCACTGTGCCTGTGCTTGGTGCCACTGCTGCAGTCTGCCACAAACCCATGCCCCAACCCACACCCCATCTTTCTCTCCAGGTTTCTCCAGTGGATAAGGGAACATCTAGGCTGCTACACCGACAACATGTACTACAACTGAGACTGGATACAAGTGGGGTTCTGGAACATTCATGAGGTGGGGCCTTACCAGCTAGAAAGACTGGGTGCCAGCAATAGTTCTGCAGTACCCTTATCATTCTCCACTACATGTCTGAGGCACTGGCCATGACCCCCATGCCAGTGAGGCCCATGGCTCTCCCTCCTTCAGAAAGCATGGAAGAGTATTAGCTAGTGTAGGGTGAAGAGAGGGAGTGTGCTGGACAGATCCCCCGGGTCTTGATGATTTCTTGCTCCCTCTTTTCAAGGGGATTGGGTCTTATTCTCTAGGTTTTTGCATGAGATCATTCTTCCTCCAAGACCTTTCCTGCTCTGGATTTCCAACTTTTGCTATTGTTTGCTTTTGTTCCAGTCCTGTGCTTCCCATGCTTGTGATTTCCTCGCTCTTGTGTTTTGATCTTGGTCTGGATCATTCTGTCTATCTGACCCTTGGGTATCACCCTTGCCCTTACCCGTGTACCTGGCCTGGTTCTGAGTCTGCCGTCTTCCCTGGCCCCATTTACACTTTCTCTGCCGCCGCCTCTGCCCTCCTGGAACTCAGTGGCCACTGGCTCTGCTTCCAGTTACTTACAGGATCGCCAGCTTCCTTTTGTTTCCACTTTCCAGCAACTTAGACATGGGAATATCCAAGTCCTCTTCCAGTTCTTTGCGAAGAGCTATTTCTTTGATTATTGTGTTAAACACTGTCTGGTAGGAGCTGTTTAAAAACTACAAAAGGAAATATCCAGAAAAAGAAATATCCAAAGGTGCCAAGTGACATTTTAACATGTTAGTGAAAAAAAAAAAAATACAAATAGTGCAGAAGGATGGTTAGCAAGAATTCTTTTAAAGAGTACTTCCATTATCATCATACCCTCTCCTTCCCACCAGTTCCCTCAAGAATTATTTTTTTTTTTTTTTGGTTTTTCTCCGGTACCGGGAACCGAACTCACGACCTTGCGCTTGCCAGGCAGGTGCTTTTGCCGCTGAGCTAAATCCCCAGCCCCTCAAGAATTATTTTAAACATCATTATGCCAAGAAATATTTGGTGAATAGAAAACCTCCTTTTTCCAGTTGTGGAGATGACGATAGGACATACATACATTCTATGTTTTGAAAACAAAACAGGCTTTCTGCATCCTCAAAATGGTCACGCTCCCTGGGGTGGCTTGTTTATTCAGTGACAAGCCTGACTTTTGCGGGAAGCAGTGTAGCTAGCACATCATTGCACTGGACAGTACTGCATTTGAAAATTCTTCCCAAGTAACACTGTAATGAGCTGCTTTTGTATGCTGAAAACCTGAACATTTTACCCCAGGTTTGTGCTGTTTATAATGACTGCCCTTAGGTGGGTGCTCACAAGACTTTTTTCTTCGGATCCCTTTTTATAGAAGGTGAGGCCCTGCTACCTTTCAAGAGATGAGAGCCAGGAGCTGGTTAAGTTGCCCATTCCTACCTCATCTACAGGTTGAGATTGTATGGCTGTTGTTCAGTATGTGCTAGTGGATTGCCATCAACTCCCTGTCCTCCTATGGTAAGTAAAAGAATAAAGTATCAATGTGTGTGGGAAGTGGGGCCGATCCAAGAATATGGCTGGTGTTTCTAAGCTGGGGAAAAACCTGGTGCCTTACGTCTGGCCTGCCTGATTGCTGGCCTCTGAACTCCCTTCTCCACATTGTTCAAATCAGTGCCTTTGATGTTGGGGCAGTTTGAGGTTAAGGCCCATGCTGCTGTTTTCTTGCCTGTAAACTCCTCATTGCTGACAGTGCTTCAGCTGGGGCGGGGTGGTCAGTGATCTATCATTACCCTTCTGCATTCTGTGTTCTGTTCGCTGGAAAATACAACAGCCATTGTAACTGGATAGACTCAGCTGGGTGTGTCCACGTGATGTTCTTGTCCCATCTAAGCTGAACTGCTCCATACTATTTACCTAACACATGAGAACCCTTAGGGGTTTGTATCCTTTACTTGCCCCGCTTATGCAGTAGAACCATCCTCATCAGGATAGGAGGTTTATCGGGCACTTCAGGGATGAGGCCTCCCATGCTCAGAGATCCCTCTCAGGGGAAGCACTGACTGCTGCAGCCAAAGGAATTTGCATGCACAGTGAGGCTTGTGATACATGAGTGTATCACAGGAATAAAAATGGGTGTGACAGTGAACTAAAGACAGCCAATGAATCGAGTTATCAAAATAGCAAAGTATATCTTGAAAGCCACCTGCAAATAGAAAGGCTTTAGGTCCCTCTTCCTAGTTTGTACCCTACAGCTTTCTGGTATTGCCACAAAAGGTGCCTCAGCAATTTATGCAAACAAGTGTTGCGGCTGCAGGTACAATGTGGCATTCATCGCGTTCTCTTTCTCCTGCTGTGGCTCTGCCGGGCTGCATCTGCAGTGACCAGGTTGCTTGGAGCGGCCACACTACTATCTGCTGTGGTTTGGGTGTGCACGTCCTCCACAGGTCCATGTGTTGAGGGCTTGCTGTGTCTCGTGGTTGCAGCAAAGGTGAGACAGGGCTTGGTAGAAGGTCTTTAGGTCACTGGAGGAGTGCTCTCTAAGAGGATGACGGGAGCCTATCTCTTCCCCTCTCTCTTTTTGCTTCCTGCCTCAAGATGTGGCTGCCCACTCTGACATGCCATCCTGCCATGATGTGCTGCTTTTGCTGGAGCCCAAACCAACAAAGCTGGGATCTTGGAGTTAAAACTCCAGGGTGATGAACCAAAATGAACCTCCTTTTATTTCTTAAGTAGCCTGCGTCAGGTATCTCTTTCTGGTCATGCCTGAGAATTCTGGAGTCTCTGCCTCAGGGGCTGCCTCAGTACCCTGAGTGTCCACTTCTTGAGGGTCAGAGTGGCATGGAAGTCAGAGGGAAAGGATTCTATTTTGTGTCATACTTTGTCAGTTGGGCCCTACAGCAGTACTACGTGCGTCCAGAGTTTCAAAACGTGCTTCATAATTGGCTTGCATGAGTGGTTGCCTTCACATCCCAGCTGTAGTGCTTCAGTCCTGCTCTGTGACATTGAGATAAAAAACAAGACATGGTGTCATCCCCTTTCATATTTTTTTCTGGATTCTGAAAACCCTCATGCTAACTGCAAACCAAAAGTTCCCTAGCTCATATAGGAAGAACAACTAACACTGGCATGTTTTTTTGTGTTGGGGGTGGGTGAGGTGGGAAATTGTCTGTCTAGAGTGGTAAGAAAATAATGCTCCGTGATCTCCAAGGCTCCAGCTATATGCTAAGGACTCTGCCAAGGGTTGGATTGTGTCCCTAGCCTCCAATTCCTATGCTGAGTTCTAGTACTTTAGATTGTGACCTTGTTTGGAGGCAGGGTCTTCACAGAAGGTAATTAAATTAAAATGGGGTGATTAGAGCTGGGTGTGGTGGCACACTCCTGTAATCCTAGTGCTCTGGGAGCCTGGGACAGGAGGATCACAAGTTCAAACCCAGCCTGAGCAATTTAGTGTCATAGGGATGCCTTAGTTCAAAATGGGAAATAAAAAAGGTCTGGAGATGTAGCTCAGTGCAAAGGTCCTGTGTTCAATTCCCAGTACCTCAAAAAAGGGAAAGAGGTCATTAGGGTGGGCCTTATCCAATATGATTAGTGTCCTCATGCAGATTTTGGCATAGAGATACCTGCAGAGATGACAATGTGAATTGACAGGGAGAAGATGTCACCTACAAGCCAAGGAGAGAAGCCTGGGCCTGATCCTTCCTCCACAGCCACCAGGAAGAACCAAGGCAGCTGACACCCTGAGTTCAGATTTCTTCCCTCAGAATTGGGACTTAATACATTTCTGTCATTTAAGCCACTTGGTTCATGACACTGTTACGGTGCCTTAGAAAACTAATGCAGATTCCAAATTAAAATCTTCAATCAAGAGTTTTCTCCTAGGAGCTGGACGGATTATTTTTGGTTTTCAGTTAGACTTCGTGTGGATGTTTTACAGGTACTTGGAACTCACTGTGTCCCAGATGGAACTAATTTTACTGCACTAACGTGCCTTTCCTCTTCCCTTCAGCTTCCCTGTTGTAATGGTTGATACACTGTGTCAACTTGAGAAGTTTAGAACTTTAATTCAGCAGGAGGCCAGGGTCCTTACTTTGTAAACATCCTGAGCTTGTAGAAGAAGAAGGCATGGAGATGGTGTGGGTATAAAGGAGCCCCCTCCCCAGGGTGGATGGTCTGCATAGAATATAAGGGAGGGAAAGAGGCTTCCTTCTCCCACTTTCTGCTCTTGTTGCTTTTGCTGTCTTTGGCAGCCTTGGGCTGCTGCCCCCGTGCCATTCCGCCCTGCCTTGGAGCCAGCTGATTATGGACAGAAACCTCCACAGACTGTGAGCTAAATAAACCTCTCCTTCCTTAATTTTGGGCATTGGGTATTTTGTCTCAGCAAGGAGAAAAAATTAACCAAGACACCTGTTCACAGAGTTTACTATGTCCTACATAAAGGGCAGTGTATTGGGCAGGTCCCAAAGCAACCAGACTTTATTATTTGTTCATTTGTACTGCTGCTGTGAAGTTAGTCTTTTCCTGTCCTCAATCTCCCCACTCCTCCAATCTGTCATCCATACAGCCATGGAAATGACCTTTACAAATATGATGCAGATCCTATCAGCTGTGAAAGAACTCAATTGATATTGCTGGGGACCCTCCTATGCCATATTGTTTTCTCCAGATACATTCTAGATTATATATTTAAAAAGGTCCCAGAGACAGCTAGGAAAAAATGAGTGAATTATAAAATTTTTTGAGAGTGAGAAGACATTTCTAAATATAAAATAGTACCTAGCAGTCATATAAGAAAAAAATGAATCGATGAGACTACCTAAAAATGAAAAATGACCATGTCATGGAAAATACCATGAAGTATATATTCCAAATATAAAATACAAACTGAATAAAAAACCTTACAAAACACATGTCAGAAAAAGGACTAAGTTCTTTAATATATAAAAGGCCCTTAGAAAATCAGAACAAAAAAGAAATAAGTAATAATAGAAGAACGGGCAAAAGGCAGAAGATGGTCCTCCAAAGAAAGAGACATGCGTGACCCAAGAATGTGAAAGACACCCGGCATCCTTGATAATGAGGAGATACAAGAGGCAATGGTGAGGCATCATTATTTTCACTCTGTCAGATGGGCCCAATTATGACCCTTGGTGGGTAAGGCAGTGATGAAGGAGGTACTCTTGTGATCTCTAGGGAAAAGCAAAATGGCTCAACCTGTGTGCTTGTAGGGAAATGTGTCAGTACCTTCTTAACTGAGGATGTAGGTTCTTTAGATGCAGCATTCAACTGCTAAGAATTTATTCTTTAGATAAACTTGCATATTTAATAATATATATACAGTTCACTGCTCTCCCTCTTCCTCTCTCTTTATGTATCAGAAACAAACATCCATTAATAGGGTGCTAGTTATGTTTAAGATACAATGGAATACCACGGATTTCAAAAATATGTTACTAAGAGAAATAAGAGCTGTAAATGTATATTATGAAGCTGTTCATGGATATGCACATTTTTAAAAGATATGTATATTTATATATGCATTACATTTTCCAGAAGGCTAAAGCATAGTACACAGTAGCTATTATGGGAAGAGACTTGAAAAATTTATTTTACAGCCTTTTGATCATTTCAATATTTAAAAACCATGTGTACATGATAGTTGCAGGAGTCAAAAGCTAGGTTAAATCAAACTACTTAAATAAATAAACAAAAACGGCTAATCTGGTTGTGTCACAAACATGCCTGAAATCCTTCAGTGACAAAGCCCTGCAATGGCCTGGTGCTTGCAACGGGAGCTCCCTGCTCAGCCCGCTTGTCCGTGGGGCTCTGTGGAAGGCTGCAAAATGCTCCCCGTGTCAGAACCTCACACAGCTGTGCAGAAGGTATGCTGCCTGTGGGTGCCTCCTTCTCTAATATTTGGAGGAGATGATCTCAAATTTTTATGAAACTTACATTCTCATGAAATTTCTTGACTTCCTCTTTGTCAATTTCCTGCTCCGTCAGTAGGGAATCCCAAAAGGTTTTTTTGTAAATATCCATGGCTTTCAATTTCAGTAGGCACATTGAAAGGAAAGGCAATTGGAAGGAGAACCAAAATAAATAAATAAATTTAGGACAGTTACCTTTGCTCTTTAAAAATGCATCCATCATCAATGAGACTAAATACACTCATCAGATCACCTGAAGTTCAGCTGGGGCGCTAGCACAATAAGAACAAAGGGGTCTGTTTCCTGCGCTGACTTAAGGATGCGCGGGTGTCTCCTGGAGGGTGATGAGTGTCTGTCCGTCAGAGCACTGTTCCCCTGGGGCTGAAGGACAAGGGGATGAACGGGTGGGGAGCTGGGGAAGAGCATGCCCAGCTGGGGACTAGGCGGTGCCAAGCGCTGGGGTGAACTCGGGGCCACTAAACCTGTTGACAAAGTGCAAGGGAAGGAGCATGAAGAAGCGTAGCTGGTTAAGAGGGCCGCGGTCAGCTCGCAGAGACAATTGTAGGCTGTGGGAAGGACTTTAGATTTTACTATAAAGGTAGATTTACTCTGCATGTGATTTTCTTCAGAAATCCCAAGAAATATTTTATCTCCTACCAGTTTTGTCATAAATGGCTAATTTCTAGAATTGCCTGTGGTTCACAGTTGCTAATCAAAGCAACTATGTTCCTCAAGGTGGGCCACAACCTGGTGCCTCTCTGGGTCAGGAGGTGGCTGGGAGCCTCCGTTGTGACAGGTGTAAATTGAACTGTGGACTTGACAATTACAACGTGGGCCTCTCTTTCCTCCTCTGGGAAGGGGTGGCTTCTGAGGCAAGAACTTGGAGAAAGTGACTTTCACAGGATAATTGGGCCCCCAGGGAAATGACAGCAACCTGTTTCCCTCAGCTTCGGGATGGCACCAGACCCTTCAGGGTAGGGCAAGTGAGAACTTTGAAAACCCACCAGCTTGGCACAGGGCTGACTTACTTAGTTTGACTTTTCATCTTCATTACACCTTTGGGGGTTGAGAGGGGACATACTTGTGACCCTGCCAGACCCATTAAACTGTGGATTGCTTCCAATTTGGCTTCAGTACTAAAATCCCTGACTCTCTTGGGCTCCTGACAGGATGCGAACTCTGGAGTGGAACTGCTTCACTGATACTCAACCCAGGGTCTTTCTGTGGCAAACCTCCTATCACAGGCCTGGTTTACTCAACAGACACCTGTCATGTGTGAGAAGCCCCCAGTGGCCATTTATTTCCATCATCTCCTACAAAGGCATACATGCCGCCACCACTGGCACGGGCAAGGGGCAGGGGCAGCGTGATTCCAAAAAGAATGTGTGTTCCCTGACTGTCTGCTGTAGGGCTGACCATGGGAACTTCTGCAGAAGCCATTTAGGAAAACTCAAGAACAACCCAGGGTAATTCGAGGGAGCACTTGGGAAGCTCCCCATGGGCAGTGTCAGAGAGGAGGAGTGGATGAATTGGGAGAAGCGGGGTCTGAGTCTAGACATGAATGTCAGGTGCTGGATGCAGGGAGGTGGGCTGCCTTCCACAGGGCTGCCCAGGATGGAGAACGAGGCTGCGCTGGCTCTGACAGTTCACCCCCACCCGATTTGTGACTGGGACATTTTAGTAGGCTTTATTGAATAAAGCATAGTTAATCTGAGAGGGCAAGTAGGTGTCTCTCATCCAAAGAAGGGGAACTCAGCATCTCTGAATATCAAACTGGTGCACAGAAGTATCCGATTGGCACGATAATTAAGTTGGTTAACACCAGCGGGCATTGTGGACATTCCTGAGTCAGTTGGGAAGTGAGCTGCAGCACTGCTGTAACTGGGGCTGAGTGAGAAGGGCAGTTTTGTTTCTACTTAACTGTTCCTTTGAGGATTTCTGTGGCGAATCCTCTACCTCTGTTCTGATGAGAACATCATCTACTCCCGAAATGCCCTCATGGAGGAGGGGGAGAACAGGGAAGGGTCTTATGAGACCCGGGCTACTTCTGACATGTCACCCCCCCTCTCTTGTGTCCTAGCCTCTGTCTATGCAATAGGCACAAGACTCATCTCTACAGAGGCCTGGAGGGAGAGCCAGTGTTAACGTAGGTCCACCTGGCACACACAGTTCTCCAGCTGGGCCGTGTTCTTTCCCTAGGCTGATTAAGAACAAATCTTAATTCTTCCTCATGCAAGTGTCTCTCCTATAGGGTTTTTGACAGAACTTTGCTTCCCGGATTAGGATAAATGTTTGAGCTGTGTGTATGAGCTCTGGAAAGTCAATACAATAATCCTTATGTTATAGTGACGAAGATGCTTTTCTTGGCCCGACATTAGTCAGGCTGTTGAGCCTTCTCGTTTACCGTGCCTTCTCCATCCCCTAGGTGATGTCTGACTTCAACAGAAACCCTGGGAGGTCAGTGCAGCTCCAGTTCCCTTCTCCTGATGTTTCCTGGTCAGAACTTTCCATCCAGTGGCCCTCAACCCGTTTCTTGGCTGTGAGCCCCACTTGCCTAGCCAGCATCTGCAGCTGAGCCCGGTCTCTCTCCCACACTGCAACACTCTTGGAAATGCAGTAAGATGGAGAAAGCTGTATCAGCAGCACCCTTCCGGGGTCGCAGAGGACTTGGTGGGGCCATAGTCCAGAGTTCCGAAGTGTTTGAAAAGCCACAGGTTGGGTGCAAGATAGGGTTAGAGTGGGGTGTGTGTACTAGAGACCTGATTCTAAACCCCCGTGTCTAGTATAACAGACCATAGCCCTTAAATTGTTTTCTGATACGGATGGGCCTGGCCAATCACAGTGCTTTTGTTTTGTGAAGAGCTGCTGTGCAAGTTGGGATCCTGCCATACCATAAGGATTTTCTCTTGTCCTTCTCCCATTAGCATCTACCTAGCCCCTCTTCAATAAAAATTTAATAAATCCTTAAGGACATCATTTAGAAGAGTTTCAAATTATTTGCTACCAAGGGGCCACCAGATGAGTCTATCTGGATGGAAGGGCATGCAGGCCACTAACGCCCTGCTTCCCAGAGTACCCAGCAGTAGCCTGGACCCTCTGTAAATGTAGGAGGCCCTCGTCCAGCACTTTTGAGTAGGGAGAAGGCCTTCTGGTCCTGTCCTAGATCATTCTGTCTTCCTCTGGAGACTGTTGCTTGGTTTATACTCCTTCTGTAGGAGTTTCTAGGGGCATGTGCCCAGTATGTCCCCAGGTTAACTCTGGAATTTGGTGTAAGGTGGACGAGCAATGGAGGTAATTACTTGAAGGACCTTTCCCAGCCCAGAATACTCTGCTGAAACCAGGAATCTTTGAATAGATTATGTTGTATTCTCACCATCATCTCCATCTTCCTCCATTTCAGCGTCATCTAAAAAAGAATAGGAACAATGATTACATTTGGACATGTGGTATATTGATCTTGAATCTTTTAATCCTTGAAGGAATTAATTTAAAAATCACCTCCTCAGTAGCGGGTATGGCCTAAGGTGGAGATTATGTGTTTTGGGATAAGAAGCTTCCGTAATATTCTGGCAGCACAGGCTTATGGAAGATGGGTGACTTCCCTTTGTTTTTATTTCATCCTGAACAATACAGTTTAAGTTCTGAGAGGGTGAGACAGGTTTTGTCCATTTTTATAAACTGCCTAGTACGCAGTAGATGCACAGTAAATGTCACTGAATGAACTGAGTATGGGTAACTCATTATCTTCATTCCTAACTGCAGTCACAAATATTGTTTCCTTGCCTTGCAAAATGCCAGAGAACTTGACTCTGGTTCAAAGTCTTACCTGAACCTTGATCCTTAACACTAAATTAAAAAAGACAAGACTTTGGTCACTGGCCTTGATTAAGACAGGCCTGGTCTAATGGTCAAAGGGGGCTCTCCTTGGCGGCAGACTTATGAATTCTGCCCTTCTTACCTCCTTGTGGATGGATCAGTAACTTCTACAGGGCATTTAAAATCATTATAAATTATACCTTCCAAATCAGACTTCATAGTGGACAGTAATGAGATTCTTGGCTCTGTTTTTGGTTTCAATTTTGAGGATGTTCCTGTTAAAAGACAGAAGAGGGTGGCTGTTATGACTTTCATTTTATACTTTTTAAAGTCTTCATGTTGGATCTGTGTTTTCTCTGGGCTCACAAGGCTGGACAGGGGAGGGAAGGCCTAAGGTGAGGGGCACTGCTGAGATGGCCTGGGTGCTCCTTCTGCCCCTCTGCTTCCTTTTTGGCTTTGGGTAATTCCAAGAAATCAGTGGTCAGAAAAGACTGCCTCTCTCTGGATTTCCCGTCTTGTTATCATGGGCTAGTGTGGTTCCCTAGGATGGCTGGGGTTAGGGCCAATTTAGAGAGACTTCTGCTGTGGGAACCATTCAGTTAGATGTCTTCAAGGCCTTGGATACAGTGCGGCATTCATGGCACTACAACAAGTGGACATCTCTAGTATTGTTGCTAAGAGTTCCTAAAGAGGTGAAAATGGGGGTTGTCTGATGTAGATCTGCTAAGCTTTGCTGTGTTTCCAACGGGAGGCCACTGTAATTTTTAAAAAAACTTTTGTAAGTTCTTAGTTATCCTTGTTGTATGTCTCCAGGAATTTTGTGATTCCCCACTCCTTTTCATCTCCTTCAACTCTTTTTTTCTCCTAGTCCTAAACACATGCGTGCATGAAGATACAAAGACAAAGACACACACACACACGCGCACACACACACACACACACACACACACACACACACGCTTCTGTCTCCAGAGGTGAGCATAAAAGGGTCCATGATGAACAAGTGAAAGTGAGCTGCTGCATCTGCTAAGTGCATGTAGGTCTGGGCCTAAGTGTCAGGATGAGAGGCCCTGGACGGGTGCACTACCAATACTCCTGTAGCTCTTCAGGGTGGGACCAAGCACCTCCACAGGCAAGGGACACTCTAAGTTCAAGAAAACTCATTTCGCTCTGGCATACTGATGACCTGTTAGTAATAATCTCCTTTTCTCGGAATGCTTCCCTAGGGTTATACTTTTCAACACCTCATGTTGGGTGTTTGGGGTCTAGGTTCTCTGTTGGCACCCAATCTCATTTATCCAATTAATGGGACTATACTAGTCCCTCAGGGTAAATTGGAAGAGGCAGTTCTCAGTTTTGTGTGGCAGACGATCCAATAGTTATGGAGCTAGCATATCTCCTGCACGCAACATCCTGCTTTGCTTCAATAATTCTTTGTATAATGTTGCCTCCAGGGCTGCCTAACCCCAATCTTTCCTCTGAGCCCTTACCAATCTGCTTCTAGCTCTGTAGAGGGAAGCATCCTCCAAACTGAACAAGCCATCCAGGTGGCCCTCTAATAGAGTATAATCCTTTAGTTATATTTGGTTGTGTTCACTTTTCTGTCATAGTCTTGACTGATTGAACTTGTGGTTAAGTGAGGCACCTGAAAACAAGCAGGATTTCCAAACCCTATACATCTCCATCCTGTTGTTTTGTGGGCCTTAACCTACATCTAATGGATCTAACCTAGATGACCAGTACATTTTATCCAGCTAACTTGGTCCCATGTTTCTGTCTGTCAAAATCTCAGAACTGATTATTGTACCTCCAGCATCCAACAGCCTGAGATCATCTACAAATATAAATATTCCTTCTACATCTGCACAGAAGTCTGTCAGATGAAGGTTACACTGGGCCAAGCCCTGTGGCTGTCCCGTGGAAACCAGGTTGGCTGTGATCCATTAAACAATATCTCCAGGTGGTTTTCAATCAGTCATTGCATCACTTTACACTAGCATTCACCTCATATTGTGTCTTGTCCAGGAGCATCAGGTAGCCATCAGAAATTGGCTTGTGGGATTACCACAGTTGCCTGATCGAATAACTGTGTGAAAAGTGACCTAAGATCTGTTATGTGATCTGTTCTTATTCATCCTACACTGGTTTCTTGTGGCTATCTTGCTTTCAACATTAGCTCCAGACTGGTCACAGACTTTTCTAATTTCTTCTAATTTCTCAGAACCCAGAAACATGATTGAGTGATTTTCACCCTGTTTATATTCTGGGGCATATTTCACCCAGGTCAAAAGATAGTAGTTACCATTCTCTTCTGATTTTTTCACCACTCTTTGTTTTCTGTTAGTGCTTACCTAATTTTATTGTACTCTGTCCAATATGAAGATAATTTTCTTTTGCAATAGATTCAAAATTAACAGCAGTTGAAGAACTTAACTTTCCCTGAATCACTCATCAACACTGCATTAATAGTAGTCTTGTCTGCCTTAAATGTCTTTTCACTCTTCTATTTTGAAAAGTCCAAATGTCTTTTGTTGCTGCCTGTCTTATCATTATCAACATCATTATCATCATCATTGTTTTTTTTGCTAAGAATGTTTGTCCTAGGATTCAGCCTTCCTGGCACTGTTGAAATTCAGAGCCACATTCCTACACTCGCAGTTGGGAACAACCTCCTCATCTTTAACTTCTGCACATGATCTTTCAAAATCTAAGTTCACTAAAGGAAAATCTGTGCAAACACACTAGTTTGCATTTTAGGGCACTTCCTTCTCTTACCTGGTGGCTTGGAGGATCTCCCCTTTGCCTTTGTTCATCCTTACCCGCATTTCTATGTGTAAGTGTCTTTGTGCTTATATGTATTTCTATCTATAGCTCCCTGAGTCCTAAGACTGCTTCTTTGGAGAAGAATATATATTTTTTATCACCATGACTTGATCTTGGATCAGATGGAGGCTTTAACAACAATTTTAAATGTATTTAAAAATATTTATAGGTGCTTACTATGTGCCAGGCATAAGTCTTCAGGATTTCTGCAAGCATAGATATAGTGCTTGGAGTTAGAATTTCTGGTCTCCTTTGTTTATGACCCTGCTCTGTGCCTGGATAGATGGACTCAAGGGGCCATAAATTGTCTTTCTGGTCCTCCTGAGCCCCTCTCATAGGGATAGTGAGGTGTTTCCTGTGCCCTTAGCATTCCTTCCATGTCAGACCTGCCATCCTCTGAAGTAATAGATTTCAAGGATATATCTGGGTATTTCATTCCACACCGAGCTCAAAGTCCTGTTCACTGGGAGGGGGTGTGCCATGTTAAACCCTGTTTTTCACCCACTGGAACAATGCCATGATGAAAAACATGTCTTGAAAACAGGAGACTCACACCCCAAATTCATCCTAAACTAGTGACTCACGGTTTCTCATCCTTTGTGCCCCTTAGATCCTCTGAGAATCTTGTTACGAATGCAGATTTCAGGCCCTCTCAGGCAGGGATTCTGATAAGGACAAGCAATTGCTGTCTTTCCAAGCATCTGGATGTGTCATTGCCTACAGTCCAGGGCGCCTTGGCTCAGCAGCCCCATGCCTGGTCTCACTTCTGCCCACTCCTGCCGACCCTGGACCTTGCACTATCAACCCTTTGGATTGCTTTTGCCATGGTCACCTGTTTTTGGATGGGTGGCTTCTGCCCTGAGCTGAAACAGCTTCTCTTTTGCAACTGCTTAGCTTGGGAACACTCAGTCATCTGTGTGTTGGTGCAGGTCCCTTTCCCTCTCCACAAAGTGTGTTTCCCTGTGTCTCTCTGCTCTCCCTCTCCTTGACTTTGCCCTCCCATAGCACATGCTTCCCGGCTTCTTCCCGCACCTTTCCTTTGTCACTCATGGAACCATCTCACAGTCTTTCTTCTCTTCCTGGAGCCGTGCGCACCCTGTATCTGGCACCATCTGCGCTGTCCCAGTGGAAGCTCCTCTCCAGTGTTCCCTGGCTCTTTGGGACTTGTATCAGTGTCTGCACTCTGGCAAAGCCGAGAACCAGAACAGGGCTGCTGGGCAGGAAGCAGACTGGCTCGCCTGCTGTCTTCTCACAGCAAAACAAGGAGCCTTATAGCATAAATGGGCACATTTGGTGCTTTTGTCACCATATGTGTTCTTGTGCTGGCTTCCCATAGGGAAAGGGAAGATGGGGGAAACATAGACAGTTTTAGAGCAATATTGTGACCCTAGTAGTATGGATCACAGGATCTTGTTTTCCTGACCTGGGTGGCTGCTCCTGGACAGGAGTGGCTAGTTCCTGTCCATGGTTTTTAGCTGGTATGCTTACCAGGCCCATACATTTACTCCTGGGATTTGGCAGTGACCCAGGACCCAGAGCTACTAAATCTATCCATGCCTTGTCACTTTGTCATACTTGCTCCATCCCATTGACCAGGCACAATCATGTACCTATGACCACCAAAGCTGTCCAAAAGGCAGCTTATAATCTGTATGCAGAAGGAGAGAGAAAAATCTGCATGGCTTTTAGGGAATTCCTTGCTTTTGTTTGTGCTTTGGTCTCTGCTACCAGGGGCAATGGTAAAGGCTTTCTTTCATGCTCTGAAGGCTTGTTGGAGTGGACAGTAGACAGAGTGGGTAGGAGAGAGGGTATCAGGCTCATGGTGCACAGAGGCACATGCAGCGTTGCCATGCAGCAGCTCGACAGGACCCAGTGTCTGAGCCCTTTTCCATAGGGGAAGGGCACAGTGGGAGCGTGTGGACAATTTTTAGGGAAATAGTGAAAAAATTTTAATTAATGAAAGCTGAGAGATAGGCTGAATTTAAAGTAGACAAGGAGATATCAGCTTCATCTTTCTCAGCACTTGCCGCTATGTTCTGTGATTTCAAATAGCACACCATGGCACTGGAGTTTAGACTGGCCATCCCTGAGCTCCTTCAGACCATTCCTCAAGTAACTGCAGCAACCTGGGTATGTCACTGGGCCTGGCGTGGAGGCTCCAACACAGGCCACACTTTTAGCTCAGGCTGCCAAAGTCATAATGTTTAATCAATAGATATTTATTGTGAAAGGCCAGACTTTTGCTAAACATCAATATGTGTTGGTTTTAAGGATCTCAGTATTTGGAAAGGCACATAGCTGCAAAATACACCAATACAGACCAAATATACTGGTCTTTACAATATAAGTTAAGTACAGACATGATGAACTATAATGAGCTTAAATACTCAAGAAAGCATGGAGGAACAGGGCATGTGAACCAGTGACATCAACAGGGCTGGGTCCACAAGGTACGCACAGGCAGGCGTCTTTCCTTCCTGTGCTCTTTAAATCCCCTTTCTCCTCTCCCATACCCTTTTCACTTAGCATTGGCATTCCGTAGCCAATTACTCAGTAAGTGACTTTCAGATTCTCGCTTATGAATATTTAGGCAAATACCTAGATGTTTTCCAGCTGTCACTGACTTTGAAATGGGTCTTTTTCCCATTTCCATTTGAGAGTTTCAATGCTGACAAAAGTTCCAAATGAACCTGGTTAGCCCTAAAGCATGCTTGTTGTCCTGTACTGGCTCATGTGGGTTCATGTGTCATGTCCTTTGCCTCTCCATTCTCCTCTCCTAATTTTGTTTAACTGCATTTGAGCTACACAATTTAGCAGGCATGGATGGGGGCAGGGGGGTGAGGTACCAGGGGAATCTAATTTACTGCCATCATGACTATGGATGCAAAAGAAATCTATGAATCATTGATGGATCAATCCCTCTAAGGCTGGACTTCGATGATTAATAATTGTGAAAAATGTAGTTCAGTCTTCCATCCCGAGGACCCTATAGCAAAAGGCCTTTGGGCTTCATTGGGTAGAGAATTAAGACCTTCAGTACAATCTTGGCTACTCTCTCCTAAGTGGTTCCCAGTTGCGCCTTGAAAATTCACTATATGAATATTTTTTCTGAGTTCAGAGGCAGGGCTGACTTCACCTGCATGCTAACTTGGTCTGAGTCCTGGTTGCTGTACATGTGATTATCTGGGTGTGACCTGTTCCTTTAGGGAGCCTGTCTGGAATCTTGGAAGGAAATGGCCTGTTTTCCTGAAGGAGGGTATCAGCGTTCATGGAGGAGGAGGGCAGGGAGAGTAATGAGGAGCAGGGGAGGAGACAGGGAAGAATGAAGGAGATACCTGCTCCAGTGCTTTGCTGATGCCCTTTTGTGGGGGGATCAGGGCTCATGGAGCAGTTAACTTCTTACCCAAAATATGATTTAGGATGGCCCAGGAAACCATAAGTGTGGGTGACACTACACAGAGGACACACTGCAAGACCATTTTGTCCCTGGCTGTGGGCAGACCGGGGGAAGGGATCCCAAGCAGGATGCAGCTTCCTTACCCTCATAGGTCCATTCTGTCTGACTAGCCTGGTGTCTTAGGGAAGGTGTAGGAACCATCAGGCAGCAGGAAGTCGACTCCATGGCAGACTCGATGGCAGTCTCAGAGGCAGGAGCAGGGGTAGTGAAGATAGATGGGATGGTAATAAAACCACTCTCCTGAAAAGTACTGGCAGTTGAGCTCCTGTTGGAGGTGAGCAAGGTGTTGGTTAACTTGCTTGGTTAACAGGCGGAAGCCATGTTAGGGATACAGGTCTATGGCATGTTGAGAAGTTGGGGAGGGGATGACTATTCTCCAGGTCCTGTGGACTTCCAGAGGCCGCAAGGTTAGAAGGAATAGACTTGTGAACCATGGAGAACAAGTCTGTGTGTTATTTGGACAGCAGATTCACATGATGCCAACTGCTGCTTTACTAAAACATGAAACGATCTGTACGTACTATCAGAGACCACTGGGATAGAATGCCATCACTGAATATTCTAGAACATTTTTCCTAGCTTACAACCCTACTTATTCTAGTGGCTCTTCCTGCCTCCATTGACCTAGAGAGGAAAAATCACTGGAGTAGGGGCCACAGAAGTTTAAAATCAAGCACTGAGGTTTGTCCCTATAGTTGACATCAACACAAGCATGCCATTATCATGGAAGTTCTCTTAAGGGCCCAGTGGCAAGGTTTTGGGTATGAGGGGCTGGTCTTACACTCTTGCAGTGTAGAATCAAGGAGAATAGTGCCAAAGCACAGGCCCACACTGCTTCCTGCTCCAGAAATCTCTGGCTTTTAACTGGGACCAAGAAAACTGTCATTCAAAGGAATGCCAGGGGCCTTGGAGCATTTTGACTCTGAAATCATTTCATGTATTCTGGCCAGAATGGCAGAGATAGGACCAAGGGAAATGTTCATCATATAAAGGGGTAGTGACAGTGCCTAGCAACAAAGACAGACTGATGTCAGATGACCTGAGCTTACGTGTTGGCCCTGGTATTCTAGCAGAGCACTGGTAAGCTGAACAAACAGTTATACCTGAGGTAACACTAGCAGCTCTGGTCATTTCCAGCTTCATATCAGTTTCCCAGTACCTGCTCTGGCCTGGGACAGGACAGGGGCCTCTGGGATGCCAGCTTTTGGCCTCTGGTCCCAGGAAGCAGAGCCAAGGCCCTGGCTTTTCTGGGCTGAACACCAGCTCTGTGCCCCAGTATCAAGGGAGAATCATGGGCATTCAGGTCCTGCTTCCCCAGCCTCTGGCCTGTGGGGAGGGGCCTGCCTGTGCTTGGGGGGCCGTTTGTGGCAGATGTCGGGAAATGGGAGGGGAAGCTGCTCCAGGTCTGATGTGACCAGCAGCCTTCCTGGTTATAAAATGCTCACCCATGCTGCTCTGCTTAGTCAGTCCCAACTTTAACACACACACACACACACACACACACACACACACACACTCTGATGCAACTCTTCTTCCAGACTGGTAGGTATGTGTTTGTACATGTGGGCTACCTGAGTCAGGATTAATGCCGATGGGCTAAGTTTCCGCCCGCTCCCCATTTTGGACCTCCAAAGGCTCCTGAAACAGTATCTTTAAGTATGGATTTCCACCCAGTTTATCCCAGAAGAAAACTATTACCTTGCATCAAGATTAGTCACAATTGCTGTTGAATCAGGCTCCTCAAATTCTACTGGAAAAAAAACCAGAAAGGCAATGTTGGCAAAACAATGTTGAGGCTGAAGTCTGGAGAGCCTGAATTATAGAAACTTCCCATTTTACTTTACCTGACTGTTGTTTCTTTTAATGGCTTCCTTTAAACACAAAATTTCCTTGAAATTTATAAAATTAGAGACAAGAAGAAGAGAGTTATCCAGAAACTGTAGGCTTTAGAAATTTGAGTTTGCTTTGTGAGTTTCTTAGGTGATCATAAGTACTTCTTTCTATTAGGGAAGAAACTACAGCTGTCTAGCAGAGGTGACTAAGGTGCAGAGGATATAAATATTTTAAGAACTATTTTTAATTGTGTAGAATCTGCTTGTGTCATTTGATTAACTGTTCATCTAGGATGATATAATGTCAGAATTTCATGTACAGTTGGGCTAAAAAGCACCATCAATTCAAGTAATAGAGAAGGACACGGGAAACAGTCTAGAAATGAGAAGCAAAACATTTTAATTTGAAACATGCATGTTCAATGCTTACACCTACCCATAGTTTATCGTTGGACTATTACTAAGGAATATTGATGATTAAAATAATATCTAAAAAAAGAAAGCAATGTGAGCAAATGGGGGAGTTACAATACTCAATTACAACAAAACCCGTGTTTGTGTAGCATGTGTGGAGCAGTAAAAACAAGAGAAGATTGTAAAATAAGCACGACCTCTACTGAAGACACAGACAATAACAGCAGAGAGACAATAAATACCACTAAAATGTGAACGTGCCAGGTGTGGTGGCGCACGCCTATAATCCCAGCTCTCAGGAGGCTGAAGGTAGATGATGGCTGAGAGTTCGAGGCCAGCCTGGGTTACACAGTGAGACCCTGGCTCAAAAAAAGTGAATGTGCTTTATAATATTTGGGTGTTAGTAGGTTGGGTAAAGTTTTTATATTTTTAAAATTTTACATTTTTAGGTAAATGAACAAAAATAGATTATTTCTTCTAAAATTAAAAGATGTATGCAATTTATTAACAGGAAGTAATGTAGGCCAGTGTGGTGGCACATGCTTGCAATCCTAGCATTCAGGAGGCTGAGGCAGGAGGATCATGGAGAGTTTGAGGCCAGCCTGGGCTACAGAGCAAGACCCTGTCTCACAAACAAACCAAAAGAATAAAGAGAAGGAGGAGAAGAAGAGGAAGGAGGGGCAGTTAAAAAAAAGGATGAAAAGAAGAAGAAAAAGAGAAAACAGAAGTGACTGGGAGAGAAGAGAAAACTTGTGGACCTTGGCTCTTGCTTTTCTTCTGTGACCTTGGACTGATCACACACCGTGTAGCTCCGGGTTCCTCATTTGTGAAATAGGGGTGGGAGATAATGGTGGAGAGAATAACATGAGATGGAGATTGCAAAACATACATTTTCTGCCTGGGCTGGTGAACTATGGCATGGGTGTTATTTGTTTTTCTTTTAAGACAAAAGGTGTTAATGTAGAGTTGCTTTTTCTAAACTAAAACCTCAGTATTCAGATTTAGCTGCAATGCTGGCACTTGGCGATAAATAGTTTGGTTTGGCGTTGCAGTGTGGGCATATCCGTTAGGTTCCCTGACCTCTTTGGGAGTAGAAGTGTGGCCAGGGTGCTGTTTGTAGGTATTGTAAGGTGCCTGGAGGTTGGAGGTGACTGGTCCTGGAACTTGATATCCCCTTGCCAATTGCCCTCAAGGCCACAAACTGGGAACCTTCTTGTATGAGAAGTGGCTGGCTCCCCTGTTCCTGCCTTATGAGTACCTCTGGCACCATTTTTAATAGAAACCTGGAATTGCTAACTTCCATGGGAATGGCAGGTGGACACTAACTCTTAACTGCAAGTGGCAGCACCCTTAGAACTTTCAGGCAAAAAGGCAATAGGAGTCACTAAGGACTTGCTGGCAGGGATGAACAAAATCAAATCCAACACATTTTATGTATCAAAATACTCTTGGGCAAAGCTGTGTGTGGTGGCTCATGTCTGTAACACCGGCTACTCAGGAAGCCAAGACAGAAGGGTCACAAATTCAAGGCCAGCCTGGGCAACTTAGTGAGGCCCTGTTTCAAAATAAAATAAAAGTGAGCTGTGGATCCTCCATGGGTTCAATCTCTAGTTAAAAAAATAGTAACAGAGCTTTAAAGGTATTCAATTCACCAACTGTTCTAGGATAATAGTGACTGCTTTGATTGTTTTTCCTAAACATTTAAAAAAATACTAACAGGCAAAAACTATGAATCAAAATCAATATACTGCAATGTCTCTATAGCATTTCTTGCCACAGAGCAGAACTTGTTACTAGGAAGGTCTTAGGCTAAAAGCAGACACAACAACAAAGACCTTCTCGTGGCTCCTTTCACTGTGTATGTAGCATGCTCTGTGGCAGCAGAACAACAGAGATTTACTTCTTTCTTCTAGCACCTTTCTTCTTGTGAGAGCAGAAGCGAGAGTATCTTTATACTTTACAATTCATGTAATGTGGGAGCTCTTTTAAAAGCATTTTCCAAAACATTGTTTTATTTAATCATGCAATCACACTGCCAAGAAAGGTGTTTTTGCACATGGGAAGCTGAAGGCGAGTGGACATGTCCAGGTCATAAACCCCACCACCTGCTGGGCCTTCTGACCCTGACACCACAGTGTCAGCACCCATTTGCCGCACCCCGCAAGGGGATCAGTCAGATGCGACCTTCCATTATTTAGGGGCAACTGATGCTGAGTCTGTATTCAAGTTGCACATCTAATTTTATTGGGTTGCTTCAGAAATCCCGGGGGAAGCTGTGGTTATAAGGAAGAAACAGGGTGAGGGCTCTTAGTCTGACCTCACACCATTTGCCCAGGGCGAGGGGCATCTCCGAAGTTGACCCGCCCCACAGCAGGTGGGTGGAGTGTGCAGCTCCTTCCCATGCTTTTCTTCACCGCATTTCCTTTTATCTTTTCATTATGTCCATTTCACAAAGTAGGGAAATATGACCAGGGGAGTGTGGTGATTCACAAGTCAGTGCCAAGGGAATAATAACATAATAATAATAGCTGATAATTTACATAGGCTTAAAAGGCTATGTGCCTAGCAAGGCCCATAATGCCTTTATAACTTCACCCTTTAGATACTCATGCAATCCTGGAATGCAGGTCTACTGATATTCCTAATGTCAGTGAAGAAAGCCAGGACACAGAGAGGCTACTGCTTTGCCCAAGTTCAAATGCACCTGGTAGGTGGGAGAGAGCTGGCACCCAAACCTAGGCAGGCGAGCTTTTGAGAGAGAATACGTGCTCTTTGCGGCAGACTCTTACCTGCTGCCAAAGAAGCAAATAAATGGCAGTGATGGCCCCTTCCCTGCCTGACTCTGTGCCCAACACTGCTGGGTGATCTCAGCACTCTTCCCTGTTGAGGCCAGACGGGGGCTTCGCCATCCTCCTCAACATAGCTGTTCACGGCTAACCTCCAGTACTTAGCCCATCAGAACGAGAGAAGAGAGCCTGTGTGTATGTCTAGGGCACACTTCATAAATATCAATTAATTTATAAAGTTGTGTTATATAATACCCGTGTGTGTGGCTTTGTAAAATGAATCAGACAACTTGATTCATTTTGCAGGTACTGAGCATCTGTGTGGGTCAGGAAGTTGCTGTGGTTAGGTGTTCATGTTTACCACAGGGATAAACAAAACTATATCTTAAAGATGTTAGGATATCATTTGAAGTAAAGAAATTCCAGATATAAGTCCTTGTGAAAAGTTAAGAATTCTCTTGTAAAACCCCTCTTCACTGTATTGTGTAATCTGGCTCCGTACTCTGGGTTTGCATAGACCATGGCATTCTTCCATGGGCTTTTAAGGTCGTTTTTGCATTCTCCTACAGTTTTTTTCCAGTGCTTTTCCAGTTTTTTTTTCTAGCAGGTCATTTATTTTCAAAGCTTTTGTTTTGTATACAGTTCCATTCACTTGACAGCATTGTATTTGTCCATCTCTAGTGGGTAATATATTTACAAAGATCCAGCACATAGAGGGGACACGTTAAGAATGCTTGATTCATACTGTGCAAGAGAAAAGCCCTGACTGTTATTTTTCAGTATTAGAATTACACTTGGTGCTTGAAGAGTCAGGATATTAGAATCCCAAGAGGGAGCTTAATGTTGCAGGCACATAGAAAATTATTTCCCAGAAACAGAACAATTACCTTTCCAGTACAACAACCAAACTTCCAGAAGGGTGGTAGGAATTGAAGATGGTGCATCTGATTATACTGAGAAGGACACAGAGGTGAAATATCTGTGTGGCAGCTGAGAGGACCCAGCTTTTAGGACATAGGTTGTTGGCAATCAGATTTTCAGGAATTTAAAAATTCAAGCTGCATGGGGTGCATGCAGTTGGTAGCAGAACTTGATAGAGAAAAAAAAGTTTAGTTCTACTTCTGCGTCAAAAGTAGAATGATGCAAATGACCTACATTCTTAAATTCCTGAACCTAATTGCCATGCAATCATGACATCAAGGCAAGATACCACATGGGCCTATGAGTGAATGCACATTAACTGTTGCTATCAAATAGCACACGGAAGCCACTGCTGAATAATAAAACCTAATTCAAGGAAATGATGCCAACTGAAGAAACACTATGAGAAAAGCAGCAGCCCTAGTATGAGAGCCATCACTCCAAAGCAAACACTTGGCAGTGTAGGTCCTTCCTGGGGAGAAGTGGGCACACTGAGGAAGGCTACTGCGTCCTGCTGACCAAATGTCTTTGCACTGTTCAATTATATTCTAGGAAACAGAGACCACGTAAGCAACTGAGCTGTACGGAAGTTCATGGAAGTGCTCTCTTACAGAGTAACTATAAAAGCACAAACAATAAGTAACCACTATCAGAGGTCAATTAGAACACTGAGGCCTAGCCTGGGAGGGCTGTACAAGAGCAAGGACAGAGAGAAGACGGCTGACAGTTGCAGGAGTGTCGATGGCCAGGAAGAATGTCTTTTAGTGCTCTCCATATGGAGCACAACAGAGTAACTGTGCTTGACAACAATTAATCAAATATTTCAAAGTAGTTAATAGAGAGGCTATTTTTTTTTTTTTTTGGTTTTTTTTTTTGGTTTTTCTCCGGTACCAGGAACCGAACTCACGACCTTGCGCTTGCCAGGCAGGCGCTTTTGCCGCTGAGCTAAATCCCCAGCCCCTAGAGAGGCTATTAATAGAACGGCTTTGTATGTTCCCAATACAAAGAAAGGATAAGTGTTGTAGGCAGTCAATCTTCCAGTTACCCTGATCTGATCATAATGTGTTTCATACATGCATTAAAATGTCATACTGTACCCCATAAATATGTAAAATTACTACATGCCAATTAAAAATAAAAATAAAAGAAACATTTTAATAACATTAAGTTCATAAAATATAAAATGATATTCATATAAGTACATAACATTTATATATTATTACAATGTATACATCTATAAGTATATCTTCAAAAGCAGGTTACAAACACTATGATAAGGAATGATCCTTTTACAAAAGTGGGTCTGTCTGTCTATCTGTCTATCCATCTATCTATATCTCACCTTTATCATCCTGGTAACCAAGAAAACATTTCACCAGTCAGTAAATTTTCAGTACATTGTTTTAGAAACTATATGCAGCACTAGTTTAGGCCGGGGAGGGCATAGCCAAAGTGTGAGAGGGATCATCATCTCTGAGTGATGATTTTTGCTTCCTTCTTTTTGTGCCTACTGTGTACAGTTTCTGAAACAACCAGTGAGCACGCATGGTAAAGCAAATACATAGATTTATGTTTTTGAAGTGCTTTATGTTTTTGAAGTCTCTGCCTGCATTTTTGGCACAGTGCTTGGGGCATGGCTATTGGAGCTGTGAGCAGAATGTGATCAGTCGTCTTCCTACCTGTCAGCACCATGGACAGGGTCAGCAGTCTGGGGTTGGCTGCAACTTGGGCTTGTCCTTTCCTCCTGGCATTGTGATGAACTATAGCTACCGTCCTTTGGGAGGCCCTCACCCACTCTCCGCTGCTCTCCTTGGTACAGATACTGTCTCCCTTCCAGACATGTTCCCTTCTCTAGATATTCTCTTCCTTCTAGATACTCACTTGGTTCCAGATACTGTTTGAAAGGATACTCTTTTTCTGCCACATGCATTTCCTCCTCCAGGTCCTCTTCTTTAAAAAGATCTTTTCCTTTCAGATGATATTCTCCCTCCAGAAACTTATATCTCTCCAGAGACTCTTCCTCCTCTGGATATTCTTCCTCCTCCAGAAACTCTTCCTCCTCTGGATAATCTTCCTCTTCCAGAAACTCTTCCTCCTCTGAATATTCCTTCTCCTCCAGAGACTCTTGCTCTCTGCTGAATGGAACTTCATCCTGAAGATTCTTCTCGTCTAGCTCCACATCAGTATCCTCTCCCTCTGATGACAAGGTCTGTGTGGAATGTTCAGAAGTTGTTCTGGCAGGATGAGAAGACAAGGATCCTGTTGGCAAATCTTTTTCAGAAGACATATTGGAGAAGCATTAAGCAGATGAGCCTTTTCAGCAGCAGGCAATGTCACTTTACTTCCTGAAAACCAAGAAAGGAATGAAATCCCATTAGTTTGTAATAGCCAATTGTATAGTGACTGAAATACATTTTGTTTACTCTTTTCATGCAGTAGTTTTTGGTGAGCCCTTTAAGTATGTAGATCCTTACATGGTGGCCCGTGAAGAGGCACAGAAAAAGATCAGGGGCTTTTGCCTCTATGAGGTAGCTGGGGAGACCACACCAGAAGGCAAAGACTTTGGAATTACCATACATGAAGTAAAAGAGGAGGGCTGGAAAGTGGAATGATCAGTCTTTAGAAATGTGATTGTTAAAGATATTGTATTTATTCATTCAAGAAATATTTATTGTCACAATAAACAAGACAGACTGTCTTTTAGGAGCTTCAAATCTGGGGAAGAAAAGAGTCATGCAAACAGATGTCTAAACACAAAATGAGAAGCACAATGAGGAATGAACACATGGGGTGGTGTAATGCTTGATATTTTTGTCAACTTGAGAAGTTTAGAAGTTTAACTAAGTGACTCAACAGAGGGCCAATCCTCGCTTTGTAAACATCCTCATCTGATGCAAAAGGAGAGCACACAGATCGTGTGAGTGCTATACCACCCTGGATGGTGGTGGGGGAGAGCCTGCTTACAATATAGGGAAGGACAAGAGCCTTGCTTCCCCCCTTTTGCTCTTGCTGTTTTGCTGTCTTCTGCTGCCTTGAAATATTGCCCCTCTGCCATACTGCTATGGTTTGGGGCTTATTTTGCAAGGGGAAACAATATATAATATAGGACATATATTTTATATGATTATTTATAATAGTCACCAAAGAATGATATACTAAAGAGTGCAGGAAATTTGCCTACACACTATAGACCAAGAAATCTAGCTGAAGGCCTGGATCCCATGGAAATGTCCTGCATGAGTCCAGCTGAAGACCTAGAGCTCATAACAATGCCTCGCATGAATCCAACTGGAGGCCCAGAGCCCATGACCATATCACATGCAGGCTTATTTCACAGATCTGCACTGGGAAGGCCCAAAGGTCAGTGGTGGAATCTAGGAAGTCTGTGCCAGTGGGGTGAAGGATCTGTGCTAGCAGGCTGAGGGATGTACACTGGAGCCAGCAAGCAATGTGCAAAGTAAGAACCAGAGCTCCCCTGAAAAGTACCACAGCCATCCTCAGCAACAGTGAGGTCCCGAGCTCCTCCAATGATCAAGATGGCCGCGTTCCCATCAAGAAAGCCAGTGCAGCCAGCTTCTCCCAGAGACTGGCAGTGCACCATCTTCCCCTCTGGAGCCAGGAAACAATGCTCAAAGTGAGGACCAGAGCTGCCCAAAAGTGAACCAAAGCCATTCTCAGTGCCAATGAGGTCCCGAGATCCTCAGAGGATGAAAACAGCCAAGTTAATCAGGAAAGCCAGCATGACAAGCTTCTCCAAAATAACCAACGGCTTCTTACAGCTTTTACCAGCTCCCAATAGCTTCTATTCTTCTCCAGTTCTGCCTCATGCTGCTGGCAACAGTCCCCAGGTGGGCCTCCCACACCCAGCACCACGTTTACTCAATTCAGCTGGGGATTATAAGTTGACCACCAGCTGTCAATCCACTACACATACCATCCTACTTTGGAGCCAGCTGATTACAGAATGAAACCTCCACAAACTGTGAGCTAAATACATCTTTCCTTTCTTAATTTTGGGCATTGGACATTTTGTTCCAGCAACAACAGGAAAAATAACCAAGACAGAATTTTGTACTAGAGAAGAGGGGTTATTGCTGTGACTATACCTGACCATGTGGTTCAAGTGCCTTTGGAAATGGTTCTTGGGAAGAGTTTGGAAAGTTTCTGAGATGTTGCCTGAAAGAGTAGCACGGGAATGGCTTAGGCAGTTTTGTACGAGAGAGTCTGGTCAGAGCTCAGAAGACCAGAAGGCTAATAGAAATCTTGCCAGTAAATATGAGGCTCAGGAGTTTTCTGCTGGGAAGGATTGCACTGGCTGTTGGAATCCAGATGATGTGTGTTATGTCTTGGCAGAAAGTTTGTTTGTATTTTGCTCATGTCCAGAGACTTTGTCTGTGACTAAGATTAAGGGTGGTGGACTAATTAATCTGTCAGAAAAAAATTCAATGCAGTCAGATGTTGAGGCTGTGGCCTAGCTATTGTTGGGAGCTTTTAGTCAGATCTCTGTTGAGAATCAAAGCAAAGAGCTCAGCAGGATGATTTAAAACGTTGTGAGTTTGGCCAGAAATGTGTGGACTAGAAAGAAAGAGCTGAGGAGATCTTGATTGCTGAGAAGGAAAAGGAGAATAGAAAAGATGGCCTGAGGGCATCACAAGAAGCAGCATTTCTCCCCACTTTTCAGCTTCAAAACTGCAAAAGTGAAAGACTTTGTTTTGAGGAGAAAGCCAGAGGGCATCATGTTCCAAAATGGCAGTGGTATAGAGAATTTGTTCATAAGAATTGGATTCAGAGTATGCAGTGATCTAGGCACTCAACTCTTACAGCCAAGAGGGAGGGAAGCCTGGTTATTGCTCCAGCTGGTAGCAGACCTTGGTATTATCCATGTGGTGGTGGTTTTAACAGCATGCAGAATGCAAGAGTTGTGGGGTTAAGAAGGCTCCCACCCTGATTTCAGAAGACATGGAAGTCCAGGCAGTGTGCCCCTGAGAGGGCAGTATGTGAAGCTGTGAGGGTGAAACCAAACGTGCAGTGGAGACCCCAGCAGTTTGGAAAAGCCAGGAAAGTGGATCATCTAACAAAAGCTGCCAGGAGAGAGCAAAGCAGGCCCAATGGGAGAAGCCATGAGAGCTACAACCACCAGAAGTGTGTAGGGGGTGGAGTCATCAAAGCTCTTTGGAGCTCACAATGTGCCACAGATTGCCTCAGATGCTGCACATGGAACTACAGGACCTAATGTTTGCTCTGATGGATTTTGAACTTGCTTTGGTCCCAATCCTTTGGATGCCCCTGTTTGTAACTTTTGGAATGAAAATGTTTATTTTGTGCCATTGAATATTGGAAGTGTTTAACTTTTCACTTATACAGGGGCTTGCACCTAAGAATTTGCTTTACATCTCAGAGAAGACTTGGGACTTGGACTTTTCAGCAATGCTGAAACTGTTAGGACTTTGGCAACTCCTGCAGATGGACTAAATGCCTTTTGCATAAAAGGATGTGCATGAGTCTTTGGGGATCCAGGGGCAGAATGTTATGATTCTAATGTAACATAATGTTGATAGACTTAATACTGGTTCTTAAATATTGTTAAGCCTGTAATGTTTGATAAGTCACAAGGAAACTCACCCCCCCATGGGGGATTTAAGCTCTTTTATTAAGGAGTTAATAAAAACTCCTTCCTCTTCACCTGTTCCCCTCCAGTTCCCTTTGACAAAAGCCAAACCTGCCCTCATTTGCCTTGGCAGAACCAGATGTTCAACTCTGACGAATGACACCCCCTCCTCTCAGGCTGTTCTGATCCACAGACACCCCCCAGCTTGGGCTGTTCTGGCCTGCGGAACCCTCCCCCCAAAATAGCTTAAAAACCCCATTCTTTGCTCAGCTTGGGGCTGTCCTAGTCTGCTGGGCAGCCCACTGTGTCACTCTCCTGCCCAATAAAGGTTCCTCTCTTGTCAGAAGGTCTGGTCTGGTTCTGTGAGGGTCTCAGCCCAATCATATCAATGTTCAAGTTGTGAAATGTTAAGAATAAGCATATTTTTGTATTTGGAAACTGGTTTAATGAAATGTGTCTGGTTACCAAGTTGACAAGGGGTGGATTGTAATTGTTGATACATTGCATCAACTTGAGAAGTTTAGAAGTTTAACTAAGTGACTCAGCAGAAAGCCAGGATCCTTACTTTGTAAACATCCTCATCCTGTGCAAGAGAAGGGCACAGAGATGGTGTGATTGCTACACCACCCTGGGTGGTGGTGGGGGAGAGCCTGCTTACAATATAAGGAAGAACAAGAGGCTTGCTCCCCCCCCTTTTGTTCTCTGCCACTTTGAAGTGCCCTGCCACCCTGCCTTGGAGCCAGCTGATTATAGACCAAAACCTCCACAAACTGTGAACTCCCATCCAAGTACTAACCAGGCCTGACCCTGCTTAACTTTCGAGATCAGATGAGATCGGGCATGTTCAGAGTGGTATGGCTGTAGACCACAAACTGTGAACTAAATAAACCTTTCCTTCCTTAATTTTGGGCATCGGGTATTTTGTCCCAGCAATGAGAGAAAAGTAACCAAGACAGGTGGAAAAGACAGCAATGGGGTCACTGGTCAGGGAAGGGCCCATTCTCACGTCCGCACCTTCTCTGCAAAGAGCACCACTGGCTGCTATCTCATGCAGCAAATGCTTCCTTGTGCCTTCCCAGCTTCAGTGCTACTGTGAGCATGTTGACTCCTCCAGGAAGTCAGAGCTCCAGCCTATGCTCCATCCATGCCTTTTACGCTTTTACTAAGTAGTCATTTTGCTACGCTAAATAGTTTGTTCGCAAGTTTGTTTTTCCAGCAGTGTGAACTTCTCAAAGACAGGAAGAGATGGTTCTTTTTAAAAAGCCCACCATGTTTTGAAATCCTCCATGCTGCCGTATCTCCTCTGTGACTTCCCACAATGAACAGGACATCTCTAGTCTGGGTTATTGGCCTTCCTGAGACCACTTCCACCATGTTTCTAGTTAATCTCCATAAAGAGTGTTGTAAAAATACAAGTCAGATCAGGATAGCCATTGCTCCCCCCGCTTCCTGTGCTTCCTGTGCTCTCTGTTGTGCTCTGTTCCATGTCTTCCTGATCTCTGACCTCTTCTCATCCCTCTCCTCCTCCATTGCCCAAGACCTGCTATTCTCTCCCACAGCACTGATCACTGTGTCTAATTGTGTATTTATTTCTAGGTGTCAGTGGGAACAGTTGTGTGAACTGTTCCAGCTCTACTTTCAGCATGTAACCCAGAGGTGGACGTACAATATATGTCCAGTAACTCTATAGGTAGTGACTGAAGGGACACAAAGCAGTTGCTCTAATGTACTATATCGCAAACTCTAAAAAGATGATATTAATTTTGCACAGTGGGGTAAAGAGGCTGCTCATTATAGAGGTAATTGGCCCCAAATTCTTATTAGCTTGGGATATCTTGGCTTACTTTTTCCAGCTCTCTGATTGGGAAGTTCTGTTCTAGGGAACCATCCAGAGATCATCACCAGGATGCATTTTAGAAGAGCACTGTGATACTCAAGATAAGGAGTGGGGTGGGTAAGGACACTCATAATGGGCCAGTGGGCACATTCATCTACCTACAGGCTTGCCAGAGCCACTGGATTGCTGGATTCTGATAGGGTTAACTAGAGTGAGGAGCACAGAGTATATTGCTCAGACCCTTTTTCAAAGAAGGACGTGATGCTCAGCTGTGGAGTGGTCAACAGAGAGCCCTCATTTGCCAGTGCTTTCAGATTCACCTCAGCTGCAGAGCATCTTGCAGGAGACACGACCTTCTTGGGATGGCCTGCCTTGTGACTGAACATAAGAGCCCACGGTCTTAGCCTCTTTCCCCTCCCTGGACACATATGCACACCTATGACTTAAAGGAGGAGAGGCTTACTTTGGCTCATGTTTTCAGTTGATGGTGGGCTGGCTCCAAGGCAGAAATAGGATGGCAGAAGGACGTGGTGGAGGAGAAGGTGCTCACCTCTCAGCAGCCAGGACACAGAAGGAAAAGAGAGGACCCAGGGATAAGAATGCACCCCTCTGAGTTGTGCTTTTAGTGACCCACTAGGCCTTATCCTCCCACAGCATGGGTAGCTACTACAGTCATCAATGAATGAGTCCATTGATGTGGATAAACCCCCATATCCAGCCACCTTCCACACACATGAAAATTCTGGTGGACATTTTATATCTAAACCATAATAGCAGGCCAGCCACAAATCGAGTTCCTGAAAAGCAACTGTTGTCCCAGAGCTCTCCAGCAAGCTGTTCAAAGTTTAATATGCCTATTTCACAAGTACCATCCCTGGCCCAGTTCTGCTCCTGGCTTGGTTACTTTTCTCTTGTTGCTGAAACAAAATATCTGACACCCAAAATTAAGCAAGGAAAGGTTTGTTTAGCTCACAGTTTGTGGAAGTTTCAGTTTATAAACAGCTGGCTCCAAGGCAGAGTGGCACATGGCAATGGGCAACATCTCATGGTGGCAGAAGACAGCAAATCAGCAAGGGCAAAAAAGGGAAGAGTGGCAGCAAGCAGCCTCTTTCCCTCCCTTACAGTGTATGCAAACTACTCTCCCCAGGGCAGGTGTAGCACTCACACCCATAATCCCAGCATTGGGTCATGGATTAATCATAAACTCTAGAAGCCCACCCCATGACTGCATGAGGCTTTGGGCAGACATCCACACACAGACCATGACAGCTCCTTTTTCCTCCTTTCTCAATGGTTGGGCCTGAGAAATATTTACGCCTCTATTTGCATCTTATAGTCTATTTCCCGAGAACCCACCCTGCGATGGAGAGCTTCACAAAATATAAATCTGGAAAAGAACAGACTGCAAGAGCTGGTGAAGAGAAGAGAAGGCTCTCACAGATGGCTTGAAGGTGCAGGTGGGGGTGCTAGGGAGTAATCAGACCTGCCAAGGGTAGGAAAAGCTGGCTCTCCAGAGAGATGACAGGAACTGTAAGACCAATTATTTGACAGTTTATATGGGGTGACATCAAAAGATTAACATGAAAAGACTCAGCTCTGAAAGATTAACATGAAAAGGGCTTGATGTAACTTTCTAGTTGTCTTAGGCACTTTTCTGTCACTGGGACAGAAGAGCCACCAAGACCTACAATTTAAAAAAGAGGTAATTTGGCTCCTGGATTTTAGAGGATTCAACCCATCGTTGGCTGGCTTCAAGGCAGCTATAGCGTCATGGAAGTGTCTGGGGTAGGAGAGCTGTTTAATCCATGCTAACCAGGAAGCAAAGAAAGGGGAGTCTGGGGACAAGAGCACATCCTTGCAGGTCGTGCCTCCAGTGTCCCACCTCCGACCAGACCTCACCTCCTAATGGGGCATTCAGTCACTGACCTCACAGTGGATGAATCCACTGATGAGTGTGCCGCTTCTGTGATTTAATCACCTTCCCAAAGCCCCACCTCTGAATACATGAGACTTTTGGGTACATTTTAGGTGTAAGATATAACATGAGGGAACAAGCAGCGTGGAAACTTTAACAAAACTGTAGCAGTTTACATCTGGATGGGGTCAAGGTCTAATGCTTAAGATCATAGATGTATTTATATCGTATATATGATATATGATGTGATGTATTTTTTCAGTGGAGGGAAATAAGTCATATTTAACACTTTTCAAAAGAGTATTCAGTGATTAATGGAGACTGAGGCAGTCTGTCCCCATCCCTAAGCAGCTGGCTGGCTGCAGCTTTGATGACACACAAAAGTAAAAATGTTAAAAATAGATGAGGAAATAGCCTAAAGGAGTATCATATAAGGAGAGGATGGCACAGCTGGCCTCCTCGTGGGGCAGGGCCTGCTACAGCCTGAGGGAGCAGGAAAGGCCACATCTGGATGAAGGGCAGTGCTAAGCGCTCCGGGAATAAAGCTCCAAGGGCTGACCTTGCCACCTTATCATGAGCAGGTGGACAAGCAGGAGAGACAGTAGGTGGGGCATCCCCAGCAGGAGAGGAAGCAAGCTGTCTAGGCAAGGACCACCAGCCATACACACAGGCCTGACAATGAGTGGGTGGTCAGAGTTGGGGAAGAAAGTGATGATGAGGAACAGGAAACAGGAGAAAGGCCAGAAATAGCAGGAACAAAGTCCAACCCGACTCATCTCCATCCCTACCCCCAAGGCACTCATGAGTGTGCCTTGCTGTCCCACGGTTTTAGTTTGTGACACTTGGGGTCATAAGGTAGATAAGACTGAGGTCAAACCCAAGGTCAAGCCAGACCTGTAGGGGCTCCTACTCCTGCAGGATGCAGCTTAAGCAGATGCTGGAAAAGGGTCTGCCTCTGTGGAGGGTCTCCACTTTCAGCAGGTGAGAAGGTCCCTGTCTAGTTCTGCCCTTGCTGCTTGCACTGCCTTCATGGAGTACAGCATTCCCAGGAGCAGCTGCCAGGCTTCAGTGTGGGATCTGCACCTAGGCTTCTGCCCCTGAGCCTTAGATCTGCCCTGGGGGTACAGCCAATGCCAGGGGCTGGACAGGTCCGTAGGAGGTAACTCACAGCTAAGAGCAGAATTCCTGCAAGTTGTGCCCCTGAGAATCACTCAGGTCCCAGCCAAGCCTGAGGCCACTCTGCTACCCTTCAGCGTATTCCAAACCACTGGCAGATCCTTCAGGGTTTCATGTCAAAGGAATCAGAGCCTCAGCCCCATGAGGCTCCCCTCCTTTGTGACTTCACCCATTGAAGTCTCCTGGGAAAGTGTTGAATGTTCCATCGTAGAGTCTTGGCCTCTGAAGAAGCAAAGACAGCAGGCCTAGCCTGGGCAGAGGACTCTCTCCCCACAATGCAATTGAAGTTACTTCTGGTCCATGTCCTACAGGGACGTAGAGAGCAACCTCTGAGGCACTGAGTGCTCCAGGCACCATGGATGATGCTACATCTTCAAGTGAGAGTCTACAACACGGGACTCTTCCTAGGACGGGGCTATTCCTAGGAGGGGGATCATATGTTAAAGTCAGATCTGCTTACTGTGAGCACCTAAATTTCAATTTGCTGGTTAAAATCATTGACTTCCTGGACTTCTTGGAGAAATTTCTTCCTTGGGAAATTGAGATCATGACAATATTTCTCCATCATTAAGATTTATGGTCATTGCATGGCAAGGTCTACATCATCATGCAGCTCAAGGTCTGGGATAACCTCCTTGAATTTATCAAAACCTGGGGAGATCTGCAAGAGGATGCTGCTTGAAAGGAATTTTACCAGCTCTATTTGGCTTTCAAGTACTGCTATGATCTGGACATCACACACAGAAACCTCAAGTGCAAGAACTTTCTTTTCAGCAGGGACTTTAACAGCAAGCTATCTGATGTTAGCTTCTCCAAGTGCGCCCTTCGGGATGATAGTGGCCAACTGACAACAGCAAAATCTTCTGTGGGTTCAGGGTGTACATTTCCTGAGGAGCTGCAAGGCATCCTCTGCTAGCCCAAGAACCCCAGGCATGGTCCTCTCCATAATGGCACATAGACCTAGCTTTATGCCCTACCACAGCATCAGAAAAAAATCCTATGTACCCAGAAGGAGCACCACATCAACTTCCTGTGCTCTAAGTTCCTGAGAGGGATGTGCAAGGACCTCATCCACCACAGACTACAGCCTGACAGCAACTGGAAGCTGCACATCTACAAGATCCTCAGCCAGTGCTGGATGTAGCCCAAGGCACAGTGCTGCAGCTCCTCTGCAGTCATCAATCAGGGTGTGAGCTCCAAGGAAGTGGACCCCTCATGGGTTCTGATGAGAAGTTCACCTGTGGGAGAAAAGTGGCTGCAGGACAGTGAGGAAAATCTTCTCTGGGTGGAGGGTGTAGAAGGTCCTTGAGGTACTGCAGGGCATCTGCTACCCACCCAAGGTGTTTGATATCTGGATCAAGCTAGAGACTCAGCGTGAGACAAAACCCAAAGAAGATGCAGTACAAGTGGTCAGGTAGTGGCCAGGCAGTGGGAGGTCCTGGGTCTTGGCAGTCTTCAGATATGTTCATCCAGTAAGCCTGCTGCAGCCCACACAGAACTCATGGTGTGAACCTGAGCCAGGAAGGCCAGGGATGAGTCCAAGGAGGAAGACAGCTCTGAGAAGCTGCTACTTTTGTCAGTTTCTTTTTCCTCCTTTTCAACTTGGTAACTCACATGACTTGCCACAGTGGCCCTTTTCTTTTCACCTCACTCTAGACAAGCCTATGGGGACCTGGACAGTGAGCTTTACTGCTTTCATCTTCCCAAGTCACTGAGCTATCACGCAGCCGGGAAGGGGACGCTCTGGACATTGCTGCTGCAACAGGAAAACTGCTCAGGGCTGAGTGAGAACCGGAAGGCACCGCTGTCTGCCTTGGGCCCCCTTTACTCCCATTCATTGAGCATGGGTGGGATGGCAGCTTATGACACTGGTGGGAGGCCCTATAGGGCCGGTTGTGGAGAGACCATTCCTCAGCTCAAGTTCCAGCTTCTCAGCTCTGAGCAAGATGTCCACTGTCTGTCATCTGCTTCCATTTAGCAGTAGTGACTGGGAATGTGTTCTGATTAAATCAGCTTGAGCAAGGGCTTCTAGTGGCCACTTGCTGGACAGTTAAGAAATGGCAGATACTGGGAGTTTTGTCTGCAGCTGATTTGCTTTTTGATTGGTCATTTTATGGCTCAGGGGCATGTGCATGTCTGTCTGTATAAGTTGTCTCAAAAATGTTTTTTGGAAGAGGCAAGGCATAAATCACAAATGAGATAATAATAGAGGAAGCAGCCATTTGGGGCAAAGGATGAGCTATGGGAAAGTTTGGTGACATATATCTATGTTCTGGAAGCCTCTTTCATTTTAAAGGAAGCTGTACCAGCTTTAATTGGACTTAAAAAAAAAAACCTGAACACACCAGCTGTAATTGCTGTCTATTTCTACCTGCTTCCTCCTAATGCTTTCCTTATAAGCTAGATCCAGGGGTGGTGAGAGCAACTGGAGAATTGTGACAAACGCTCTTTGCTTGCCTAAACTATAGTCAGGGTCCTGAGCCTGCTTAGGGGTCCATCCGTGCACCTCCTTGCAAAATCTTTTGTAGTAAGAACCCTTCTAAGCCAATTTAAGAAGAAACCCCTACCCCTGGAAATAGTCATCTTAAATATCTGATAAGGTTCCTCACCCTTCATCAACGCCCCCCTCCCTCCCTAGGTGATGTCTGATCACCTTTGCCTGTCTTCAGCAAGAATCCTGTCAGGTCAGCTTAACCCAAACCCTCCTTACCCCCGGCGTTTTTCCATCCATCTTCATGACATCCTGATATTTCCTCACACTTAATTTTCTATTTACTGATCCCACGCTGCTCCTAGGCTATAAATTCCTCTTTGCCCTTGCTGTATTCATAGTTGAGCCTACCTCCACACTGAGGTCTCTTTTCTTCTCTTGCACAAGTCCTGAATGAAATCTGCTTTTACGCCTTCGATGGCTGTCCAGTGTGGGTTTCCTTTGACAACGTGTCTTTCCAGCTCTGCTCTGTGATGGGCAAGGAGCACACATAAGAACAACCACTCCATCAAAGGCTTGCACTTCACAGCTCCCTACCTTTCAGATTTTTTTTTAACTGCTTAAGAGATCAAAATCTGCTGGTCTCCTGGATAGCCCAGATTGCATTTATCATGGGCACGCTGTCATTCAGGGTTACAAGCGTTTCCTTTCCAATTTTTCATCAGGTCTTGTAAAAACGAGCTGCATTCCAGACAGCTAAATTCTCATTTCAGAGATCAGAAAAGAAACTGAACTTTAGACATCTTCCCTTTAATTCTCCAAGAAATCTGTAAGCAGAAATAGATCATAACAGCAACCTGCTACCCAGTGTCTGAGGCAGACACGCTTGATCTGACTTGGGATTCAGACCTTGACCCATTCTGATCATGGTTTCTGACAGATTTCAGATTAATTTCTGTGATTACAACAGGAAAAACACCTCAGTCAAGATAACTGTAGCTCATAGACCTCTAGACTAGCATCTCAAGATGGCCACCTCCATCCAGTAAACTGGAAAATTGTTTTATTCAGTTTAAATAATGTTTTTCTCCTTAAAAATTGGAGCAACAGTTTAGAATTGGCAGAGTTCACAAAGCATTGAGGGTTCAGGAAGTAAGAGTCAACCTTGGGCTGGCTTTTCCCCTTGGAAATACTGATGCCAAGTAGAGGCTGTGTGATTTGCAAGGGATGAGCTCTTTCCATGCTGCCTCTGTCCCCACCGCCATCTGCGGCTGCTCCCCTCACAGTAAGCTTATCACACGTGTCCTGTTTTGCTCCTTCACGGTAGCACAGCAGTTCCCATTTCTCTTTCAAAAGTGGGAAAATAAAAGGTACGCTAAGAAGTCTGATGCTTCTTTCTCTTTGCCTACTCTTGCACTGGCTTTCTTTTTGGTCTCCGTAGAAGGGCAAAGGCTTTGCTCCAGGCAGTTCCTTTGGTGGAGACAAGTGCCGTGTTCACACAGTTTACCGTGAAATACCCACAGACATAGACTAGTGTTGGCACATAATAGGCACTCTGTAAACCTACTAATGAATAAATAAGTGAACAAAGGGAATATTAGTTATGTGCCATGTGCTTTGCTAAGTTTATTTACTGATTATGTGCATATACTTATCTAGTAGAGTGGCTGAAACTTATGTCAAGGTCAGTACACTACATGACTTTTCACGCTGCACAGCAAATGAGCAGGTCTCCCTGGTACTGACAGATTTCCCCATAGTGAGGTTTATTTCCAGATCCCATTCTTATTCCAAGGTGACAATCCTAGTTAGAATAAATACGACACAAATAGCTAAGACAAGTAAACAAAACGAAAACACTCCCTCTGTAAATGGCTCATTTAACGACCAGACTGAGAAGAGGAGCAATAACTACCTCTGGGTTCCAGTTCAGTGGCCGAAAGAAGGGCTCCATGTTCTGGCTGTTAGGTGAAAGGATCCCCAGGGTCTCTCCTCCGGGCTCCGTGAATGGAGTGTGGTGCTGCTCCTGAGCTATTCTGTGTCTCTGTCTCTGGGGCCGTGGTGCTACTGCTGTGCTGAACAGCCTATACTTTGGAAATCAAATGAAGGCAAAGGGACTTGAAGTTGGATAGGAACCAAGTCCCTGAGATGAGGGAAAGGGAAGAGAGCAGGCCGTTCCCTAGGGATGAGCAGGTCTGCTTTGAACAACTCGTGTTGCTCTATATCATTGCCCAGGACTGAGAGGACAGCGAGACAGACAGGGACAAGCTTTGCTAGCCTGGTCAGCACAGCTCTCCTTCCTCCTGCCTCCTCTGCCCTCTTCCTCCTTTCTTGGCCCCCAGAACTGATATGTTTCTGTGGAAACAGCCCAAGAACTTCATTTCACGTCTGGTACATTGGCACCAAGAGTAGGTTCTTTGCCACTACCATGTTCTGCCTTTGTTCTGCACATCCCCGAGGCCTCCCCTCAGCTCTTGTCTGGCTCGCTCCCTCACCTCCTTCGGCCACCGTCTCAGTGAGGTGCGCCCCAGCTGTGTTGTTTATGGTCACCTGCCTAACTTACACTCTTCTGATTCCCGTTAACCTACGCTGCTTTCCTCATTTTCCCCTCTAGCATACTAAGGACTTGATTCATGTATGATGTATGATGTGTGCTGTCCTTTCCTGCCATTAAAGGTAAGCT